ACAGCCTGCTTGATTAATTTTTCTCTCTGATTTTATCTTCCTCCATTTTCTTTTCCTGTTCTGTTTCTTCTCCTGGTTCTGATCGACGGCCTTCCAGGTACTGCTTCTTCACGCTTACTCAAGGAGAAGTAGGTTGAGCGCACAGCTTCTTTCCACTCGCAAACAAAGCTTTTAAAGTGCGGATAGTTTCATCGAGACATCAGTTGAGGAAAGTTTCTTTCTGTTAAAATGTAGAGCATTGTCTTCCTCATCGATTTGGCCGTCACTACCTCATAGTTGGTGCAGTTTACAAGGATGTGCTCTGCGGTTTCTGGCACTCCACAAGTCGATACGTAATGTATCGACGTTTTTAATATGTTTAAAAAGTTTCACTCTGAAATCCCCATACCCGTGAGAATCTGTGAGATCCAGTAGTCCGGGAGGACCCGTCTTTTCTAGGCGCGATCCAACAGTGGGAAAGAACTTTCTCTGTGTGGATCCGTTTGAGGTTGACACTCATCGCCAGTTACATTATTGGAACAGAGTACCACCGGGTACACTATGAACCAAGGGAGCATCGGTTGGAAGCCATACCTAGCGCGAGCCTTAACCGGCCTCCAACCTTACTCCCTGGACCGGGTACACCACCAAGAATGCAGGCACACAACAGGTGCCCACGGAATAAGACAACTACTACTACCATAACTTCCGTCCACTCGCTACACATTGTACCAGAAGATAGCCTGAACAACGCCAAGGCTCGCTGAACACTGGTGTCGTGCAGCGAGTATTATTATTTTTTTATTTGTTTTCCACCCTCCCATGCCACCAGGGCAACACGGGTGTATGCAGTAGTGTGATGTTAAGCATTAATGCATAATAACACACTACTGCTATAATATCAGTTTACAAAATTCTAAGCTGTGCACACAGCTAGCTCTTCTACTTTTTCCTGGCTCCTTTAGGCCTGGCTTCCCGAATCCGGAGGTCTTCCTGGGACTGGTCCTCTTCTCCTTCTGCGTGCACCTAGGTTGAAGTGAGCTGGGCCCACCGCCGTCTTCCAGCCATTTATAAACTCTTTGAACCGCGGGAAGTTTTCTTCACTCACCAACTGAGGAAACTCCTCCTCAGTGAGGACGTAAATCCCCGTGGTTCTCATTAACCTCGCTCTTAATTCGTCGAAAGCAGTGCAGGCCGTGACCACATGCTCAACAGTCTCCGGAACACCACAATCGGGGCAGTGGGGATCTATATCCTGTCCGTAGCCATGGAGTTTAGCTCTGAAACCCCCATGTCCCGTGAGAAATTGTGAAACCCAATAGTCCGGGAGGACCCATTTCGCCTGTAACCGAGATTCAACGGTGGGAAAGTATTTTCTTAAGGTACTGCCTTTCGGAGTCGTCACCCACCGTCTGCTCCAATCTTCAATTGTTTCCTCCCGGATAATCTTTTTCCATTTATTTGGGTTTTCAATAATCCTCATCCGTAGGTTCTCCGATAGACTAGTTGAGCCCTCCTTCTTGTAGTCATACCTGGTCACTTCTTCTCGCAGGAGGAGGTCGAGAGGCACCACCCCCGCTAAGACCTGCACTGCTTCATGCGACGTAGACCTATATGCTCTGGTGACCCGAAGCAGAGCAGTTCTCTGAGTCGATGCTAGCCTATTTCTTTGTCTGAGTGTGAGGTTTCGGAACCAGAAGGGAGACGCATACCTAAGGATACCCTCCACAACACCCTTATAAATAGTGATAGTGGCTGGATACCTAAGGCCCCAAAATGCGCCCTCCACACGACTTAGACCGTTCATTGCTAGGGCCACCCTACCTGCCAAATATTCCAAATGAGGCGTCATATTGAGGCCTACACCTAACCTAACCCCTAGGTAGGTTACCACCTCACTTGGACGTATCCTCTGACCTTCTATGTACATCGTTATAGGGTGTGCCCTATCAGTCTTTCCCTTAAGGAGGATGGCTTGAGTCTTAGCAGCAGCCATCCTCATCTTCTTCCCCTCACACCATCTAGCGACTAGGCTGGCGCATCGCTCTGCTTCTCTCTTGACTCCAGCTCTGCTGTTGGAGGCCACCACAGCAGCTAGGTCGTCAACGTAAGCAGTGGCAGGAAACCGCTCCTCCTCTAACACTCCCAGTAACTCATCAAAGACGAGCTTCCATAGAGCAGGACCAAGCACCGATCCCTGAGGGCAACCTCTCTCTATGGAAGCTTCTACCTCGTAGTAATTGCCTCTAATCTTGACACTTCTATCCTGGAGATAACTTCTTACTAATGTGTATAAGTTACTAGGAGCATCATACCTCTGCAGCTGCTGGAGCACGCTAGGCCACCATACGCTGTCAAAGGCGGAGGATATATCGAAAAGAAGCAACATGACATACCGCTCCGCCCTCTCCTCAACATCTCTGCGCACTCTCAGCAGGGCATCAGCGGTTCCTCTGCCTCTGGTTGATCCATATTGCCGTGGATGACTTGCTCTAGCGAAAACAGGCCGTAAACTAGTCATCATGAGGTTCTCCAGGACCTTGCTAATCACAGGGAGGAGACATATAGGTCTATATGAATTAGGGAGTTGTTTGTCCCTATCTCCTCCCTTGTAGAGTAGTCTCAAATCAGCGATCTTCCATCTTCTTGGAAAGTATCCCATATCCAGACATTCATTGAAAATACTCAACAGCCGGTCTTCAATATACGTGATACTGTTCCTCAAGATCGCTGCATCTATTGCATCAAGTCCTGGAGCACGATTAGTCTTCTGCTTATCCACGGCAATACGAAGATCGTGAATGTCCCATGGTGGGCACAAATCTGAACCAGGTGGATATACCGTGGTGCGTCTCACAAAATCATCATTTTCGCTGTCCTGGGTTGGGTCATCTCTGGGATATATTGCTTCAATGAAAACATTGGCAGTTTCTTCAAGGGTGGTTGCCTCAGTATTATGATACCGCAAGGCTGCAATAGTCTGCATCGGGGACAACTTACCCAATGCTACCCTATACGGAATACCCCAGGGATTCTTCAAAGACTCTTCAATGATGAAATCATCCCAAGACTTCCGCTTTTGTGAGCGAACCTCGTTTCGGTATATCCTGGTTTTTGACTTGTACTCATTGCGAAGTACAGTGCGCCTCTCTTCGCATCTGCACCTCTGATATGACCGCCGGGCCTTGTAGAGGTCTCGTTTTAGAACAGTTAAGGCTGGCGTCCACCATGGGACAGGTCGAACCCTCGCCTTCCGGTGCTTGAGGGAGTGTTCGGCAGCATCACGAATGTTGTTGGTAATCCTGGACACCTTGTAGTCCAGATTGTCAACTACATCCATCTCTGCCGCTTCCCACTCCTCGTCTGCAATCACTCCTTCCAGGTAGGACCTGAAGACACTCCAGTCATTTATTTTAGTGACGAAACCCTTATCAGTACCGTGGGAACATCCTGGCTCATTTACCAGGCCAATTGCTATCGCAACGTGATCGGAACTCGTATCAGATCTGAGAGTCCAATCAGCAATATACCTCGTAAGCGCAGGCGTGGCGATCGTGACGTCAATCCAACTCTGCCCCATGCCTCCAGAGAAGGTAGGGGTGGCAGAGGGTTCGTTCATCACGACAAGGTGATTTCTGCCTATGAAATTTCCCATTTTAGCGCCTCGCCTGTCAGTAATATTGGACCCCCAGACCGTGTTCCAGGAGTTGGTATCTGAGCACATGATCACATTCCTCATCTCTCTAATGATCGCCTCCATAGCGGATATGCTTTCTTCTACATCACTATTCACAGGTAGGTATGCCGATACCAATGTGAAAGAAATCTTGCCCCACTTAACATAGCAAGATGCATAATCCGCCATGGTGTGTTGTCTCAGATCCATCACGTCAAGGTTAGGATTATTAATCTCTATTGCAGCCCTGGGCCTCCTCTCTCCACTGCTCAGGGCTATAACTCTTGACGTGAGGCCAAACCCCGTAACCCTGTTCCCACGGCAGCTAGGTTCCTGGACCGCCATGATATCGTAGCGTTGTGCCATGGCGCGAAGCTCGTCAGCCACAATATGCCGGCGGCCCATATTCAACTGCAGGATGTTGAGTCTAATCATAGTGAGTTCTCCTCACTAATTCTTGAGATCTCTTGATGTGCACTGGGCATTCTCTACTTCCTGCCTGGTGTTTAGCCTTACTTTTTTGAACACCTTCCCTCACGCAGTTAACGCATGTAGGTGCGGTCTTATTTCCTTTTGCGGGACAGTTTTTAGCAATATGCCCACTCGCCGCACACCACTTGCATACTATGCCATTTGCCTCACAAGTAGCTTTTGTATGTCCATATCCCTGACACCTTAGACAGGGAGGAGCATCGGGGTAATCTAAGATTGTCAGTGACCACCAACCTCCTGTAATTATTTCCTCCTTGAGTAGATTATATCTTACCATTGGATGTACTTCTAACACCCAATTATTGGTAATTTTATTTCTAGCCATTGATGAGAACAATGGCTTTATATTACCTAATTGGTTCTCAGAAATAACGGCCGATTTTGCAGCCAACCTTTCCCATAGCACCCTTTCTAGATTTTCCGCACTCCATGAAAGGGGAACTCCTTTTACCTCCACTTTTGGTTTTCTTTTTAAGGCTAGTTTTGCCTCCATCCCAACTTCTTTTAATTTTTGCCATTCAATTATTTTTTTCGCATGGGCACCCTCATCTACACAAACTAAAACTGAGCCAGCTTTGGTCGCCCGTACAACTCTCGCCTTGACTCCTAGTTCAGTTGGAGAAGGCAGATTGTTGATGATGTCAGCTGCACTTTTACCTTGAGAAGCGATGGTAACATAAGTTGGTCTTGTAGTATCCATCGGTTTTAATGGAAGCCCTTTAACAATATCGGCCATCGTAGTCTGATGTGTAGACCTTTTCTTGGTCAAACTTTCCTCTGCTATTGGTTTAGAGGCCTCGATCTCTTTGGCCACTTGTGGAAGAGCCTTTTTCCTTCTTTGCTTTTTCTTTACTTCCTGGAAACTTTCATTCTCCGTGGTCTCAATAATAGCGTGGGCATCGGCTAATAGCGGTTGTTCTTTAACGCATGGAAACTCCCGAGATGTCTGAGGTTCTGACAGTGGTCTTTGTATGGTTTTACTTTCCGACTTGAGTCCCTCGATAACCATAGGTACTGCTTTTTCCACTAATGCATTTACTATGATATCATACATTTCAGAGGAAGCTAATGTGTCCTTTACCACACGTTGTACTAAAAACGTTTTTTCATAGTTCTTATCATATATTGTCTCCATTATATCTATTAACTGCTGAATTTTCCCATTAACGTGCTTTTGTACCTTCGCACTCACGTTCCTGTCTGTTGCGTTCATGTAGACCCTGATGTTTTCTTTGATTCTACGTGCATCTTGCAGAAGACTATCGTCTACACGTTCTTTATCTGTTTCTTCTCGGGCGTCAGGAGATCCTTTCCTTTGCCTCTTTGCTGAAGGCCTTGGGCACTTTATAGCCTGTTCTTCCACCATTTCCTGCTCCATTGCTGATGCAATTTCATCAGCCATCTTACGCAATCCAAAATTAACAACTTTATACGTTGAAATAATGGGTGAACAACAGTAGAAGGAAATATTCAACACTCAAAATCTAACCTACGTTCGGGAAACTTATAAATTTCCTATCTTCAAAAGTAAGACTTTAATATGAACTTACCTTAGTGCTTCACCAACGTAATAGTCTCTAAACGTCCTTTTGGTTAGATTAAACCTTCGTGAAAACCACAAAGTTAACCTTAACCTCCACTGTTCACTCAAAAAGTTTATAAAATTAACTAAATAAACATAAACTAAAACTAAATCATGTTCAAAAAACTATAAAACACTAAAATAACACAAACAGTAGGAAACGATACAACAAAACTAACAAAACAAACTTGAAAAATACAAAACACTGAGAAGCACAATAACACTTTATCATAGGTAGATAACCTTCCGTCGTGCAGCGAGTAGTCGTAAACACATCGACCACTACGACCGCCACGGCCGAACAGTGCAAGCACTCTCGCCGTCCACCCATAGCGCCGCCGGGGCTCCGGCGACGCCCCGTAGTACCAATTTAGTCGGGAAGCTGCTTCCCTGACCTCAGAGCACGATTGGTCTCAGGCTCCGCAATCAGTAGATCGCTACAGCTTTACATTGCCTGCCGATGTACAGGAGGATGCCTGCACCTCCGCAGTCAATGAGGGACACGACTCAAACCTAAGGGTTCGAGACGATGACCGTCCCCAAACATTATTGGAACAGTGATATCTTCCCGGAGGACCATCTTCCATCTTCTGGAGTCTTCACAAATCCTCTCCCAAATGTTCGCTGGTAAATCCGTCAAGCGCCAGTAAATAACATGGAGTAAATAACCCCTCTTAACATGGTGCTGAAAAAGGTCTTCCCGCAGGAGGAGGTCGAGAGGAATACCACCTCTTAAGACCTGTCCTATGAGTTTGTTTGTGCAAGTTAATTTGAAATTTGTTACTTAATACCTTGAGTGAAAAAAAAAAATTATGTGATTCGATATCCTGTAACCCTAAACTACCATTGTTTTAGCTAAAGTAACTACAACAATTTATTATAAAGCTTTAATCTTTAATTCTTATATTTTTTAGGTTTGGAACCATTTTTTTATGTTTTTTTTTTAAACATTAGACTTATGGCCTAATGCTTTTTAAAAAATAAAACAATTTAATATTTTTTTTATGGCCTCAGGGGTTACAGTAAATTAAGTACCAAAATATTTATTAACAAACCTCAACTCAATTAATATAAACTTTAATTTTTTGTAGCTCTTAAGGTCTACTCACCTCTCTAAATATTTCCCTTTACTTATGTTACACCATGTTTATTGAAGTTGATATGAAAAATCCGAGTTTACCAATAAAAGATCTTTGAAATGTTTTTATGTGTTTTAAATTCTGGACATTTTTAGTACATTTCATGCCGTTGTTCAGATGACAATATTTCTTATTCTAATCTTTAAAAGCTTTTCTTTACTTATGAAATTTTATCCCCATTATGTAATACGGTGCTGTAGTATAAAATGTTCTTATACTAGAAATAGCAAGCGCGAAAAAGAATTCCATTGTGGACCTATTTTCTTAATCACAACGGAAAGCCAGCAACACTTGGCATTATTAGCTGAGAAAATCGTCAACTAGGGCCAATCGGCGAAATGGACCTATGGCATGTTCGTAGCTTTTTAAAAGAAAATGTCTGCATTTATCAAGCGGTTTACTTCTGAATATGCTGTAGTCAGGCAAAATAAAGGTCTGGTGCTTCAGAACTCCATATTTAATTTTTCTTCATAGTTCTTAATCAACCTAAGTAACACAGATTATGATAGGAAGTTTAATAATATCTAAAAAAATTATTCGAGGCCCTTTAAAAATGTATTTATTTACAAAAACTTTATTTATTATTTAGTAAGTATTTATTTTTGTAACTATCGATAAAAATTGTTAAACTTATATTAGAGGAATTTTGTTATTTTATTTATTTTTATTTATTTATTTTTTTTTTTTTAAATTTCTTATTGAGTATTATAACAATCTGTCTCTTGGACATTGGTTATAGTGAGGTAGGATGACATTCACACTGTATGTACAAAAAAATAAAATAAATAGAACAAAATAATAACCAAAAGTAAATACAATAGATAAAAAAAAAATAACCGAAAAAATAAGAAAATTAAAACTAAGAAACAAAAACACATGCATACCTATATACAATCAGGCGAGGGAACTCCAGGAGAACCCTGCGCTACTCTCCCAACCGCGTCACTGGTACTAAAGCCAGCGGAGATTGGTCGAGAGCACTAGAGGAATATTAATGACAAAATGTTAAAACTTTTTAATCCTAAAAAAAACGATGGATTTTTTAGCTGTAGAATATCAAGATTACATGTTCCAAATAATGCCGTTAGGGATAAAGTGAACGAATTCCTCAACATCCTGTACTCCATTGAGACAAAAAAGCTGAGTTGGTTTGGGCGTGTGATGTGAATGACGGACGAGCGATGGCCTAAAAGAATACTTCAGCATGTACCACCGGTGGAACTATGTGGTGGGGAGCTTTCGGGCTGAAACCTCCCCTCCCTCCCCCCCAAAAAAACACTGTAAAATATAACCATGTTTTATAGAAAAAAAAATATTAAAAACTATCTCTCAAAGTATTATTTGTCGTGTTATTACATTTAATAGGACTTCAAGAATCATTTAAACACCATTTCGTAAAGGTAGTTAATTGCTTATTTTTTTTCCTGGATCCGCTAGTGGCACGTACTATCGGAAAGGAGGAAGACAGGTCGCCCGGATATATATATATATATATGTGTGTGTGTGTGTGTGTGTGTGAGTGTTTTTTTTTTAAACCAACAAAAAATGTGTAAAAGGAGAGCTGCTTCCATATTAAACATGTCGGAATTATATTACTTTTATTTTACTTTTTAAACAAGAAAGATATATAGAATCAAAAAACACAATGAAATATAAAAGTATAATAGAAACAGAAATAAATGCAAGGAAATATACATAATATATATCTAAGGATAGTGGCTTCATGGTAAACACGTCGAAATGATTTTATTTTTATTTTATTTGTTTCTCTGTCTTAGCTTATTTTTGAAGAATTCTTGTTTTCTTCAAAATTAAACGTAGTAAACAATTTTTGAAAATTAATCAATTTCATTCCATTCCCGTCTTTCCTGTTTAGTTATGGTTTTATTAATACATTATAGAATTATTTAGTTGATTCATAATAATTTGTATATCTATGTATTAATATTTATTTTATTGTAAATCCCTTATAATATATGTAAAATTGGTACTGTTTTAGTATATATTTTAAGAACACTGACACACGTGCTGATTATGGGAAGAGTTTAGGGGGTTAATTTAATAGAATAGTTTTAAAAGTTATGTCATTTATATCTATCCTATAAAAATGTATGAATTTCATTTAGATCATTGTTCTGCCGGATAAGCGATATTTAGATAAAAAGTATAAATTTAGCTCGTTTCTTGCTCTCTTTTCATTTTGTTATTGTAAACAAAATAATATTACGTAATGTTTTAACACATTTAATTTTGAAAACAAATTGATAATAAATTAAATTTCATCATCATATATCGGTAGCGATATATTTTTATTTTTGTGAAAGGTTTTTTTTTTCGTAATAGTTTTATTGTTATGAGACAAATCGAATTTAAATTAATTTCAACGCCTATTGATAACTCGCTGACCCTTAACACAATTGAAACTATAAGCTAAACCAAAAACAAAATTCTTCCGTCGTTGTTATTATTTATTAGGTTTCACGCCCTTATGAACCCTAGCTAGGGCAGGAAGGTGGTTAACCCTAAAGTAGCCAACTATTCTCGCCTGAGTGGAAAGGTCAAGAATCATTCTGCCACGAAATAAAAATCTGCTGACAAGCTTATACACGACATGATATAACTAAAGTTTGTAGTACTAGCCTGCGCTTAAACTACTATAATTGTTCATTTTTACTAATGTTAATCGGTTGTACATGTAGATAAAGTAAGCTTTATTTTAAGGTTTCGTTTAATTCCTCAAGAAACTACTACAACACAAACATAATAACAGACTTAAAATTTATTTTGTGATTACCCATAATCACTATCGGATCCAGAATTTAATTTTGGGGGGCTTCAGCCCGGTAGATATTTTGTTCATATATATATACAACGATAATTAATTTAAAAAAAAAAAAGAAATTAACTGCCTAAGTGATTCTTGAAGACCTATTTCATGTAATTACACGAACAATAATACATTAAGAGATAGTTTTTAATATTTTTTTCTATAAAACATGGTTATATTTTACCATTTTGGGGGAGGGAGGGGACTTCAGTCGGAAGCCTCGAAATGGGAGAAAACAAGACATCCATGGAAGACATTTTAAGAAACTTTTGGCTTATGAATGGGAACCAATCAATCTAGATTTAGTTAGAAGCCTGGTTCACTCCATGCTACGACGTCTGTCTACAGACAATTTATTGATTCCAATCGACCATTTTTACTAAATATTAAATTTATGTTTTAATTTTTTTTAAATAAAAATAATAAAAAGTGAACGAATATTTTTTTTCGAGAGGGTTTTGTGTTTTAATTTTTACGTAATTAAGCTAAGAGGTTTTTTATTTCTATGCCCAAGGATTGTTTTACTTTTTAACATACTTTGTATTTTGGAACAGTTGCAAGGAGATGTATTTCATTACATTAGCATTTCTTATTTGGTCAGGGATTCAAATATGTTTTGCCACCACTGATTATTATTTCTATTTTATTTTATTTTATTTTCCATTAAATTTGCCACTGCGTTGTAACGCATCAAGCAAATGTGTTGGCATGTATTCTTTCTTCTTTTATTCTTGATACTTCACTTGTCAGCAGAAGATCTCTAGGCAAGTGCCTTTTTAGTCGTCGTTGACTCTCACCAGGTAACAGGGAGGAAAATAGAGATACAATGAGTGGATTTGAATCATTGAGAGTAG